CTTTCGACGGGCATGTGTTTGTGCAGCGCTCTGCTGCAAGAATATGGGCGTATGCGGCGTTTGAGCGTAATCCCGACAGTTGTGCTTTAGCTGTGTAAGGAGTCTACGAAGGCTGAAAGCTAGGCGGTCTGGCAGGAAAGTACACGTCGTTAGGCGAGACATGACCACTTCGTCCGATGTCCGTGACCTTCCTCGCGACAGAGACGACTGCTCATTGGAGTTGCCCAAGACCTTCCAGATCGACCGCATTCCACCTGGCAACGAGAATCTCTGCGTACACCACATTTTCAACTCTCCAAGACCCCAGTGCGATGTTGCGTCGGCGTGAAGCAAGGGCCCCCATTGTCAACGCTTCTAATCAACACAGTCAAGCTCACATCGTCTTCCGCTGCCGGTGAGTGACGCCGGATGCACGGTCGCCCGTACATGTCGTACGTTAGTTAGAACGCGCCTAGATTTCCGGCCATGAGGCCGTTACACGTCATATCAAGGTCGGCCATCGTTCTTGGATTCTATGGGTGAAGGCGCGTTGCAAATGGATAGACGAGTTGGTGACGGAGGGGGATTTCGGTATGAAATTGTTGTACCTTGGTAAGGTGCGGCGTGTAGGGAGTACGGCATGAAGGTCTTTCCCCGTATGTTCACTGCGTGGGTGCCACTTTGTGTCCGTTCGTGATGTAGTGATGTCGTACATACGTTCGGAGCAAAGTTTCTTGCTGTGGGTGTTTCGTGGCGCGGTGTTTTTCTCCTGTCGTGCCGGCAAGCAGCAACAGCGACAACGACAGCAAAAGCACAAAGGCAGCAAACTGCAAAGATAAGGTCAGCAAACTCAGATAGAAGCTGCAAAGCCGGCCGATGGTTATTGTTGCGGTCTTCAGTGTTTTGTATTTGTGCGCAATTGTATGTATGTATGTTTGTATGTTTGTATGTTTGTATGTAGGTATCTGTTCAAATGTGGGCGAGAATGTGCTCACGCGCGCGCGTGTGCGTGTGTAAGTGTATGTAGGTGTGTGTAAGAGNGGTGTATGTGTGTGTGTGTGTGCATGCGCGCACGCGTATACGTATGTGCATGTGTGAGGGTGCTACTCTTTTTACTTGTGATGGAGAATTCCCAACTGCCCGCGATGTGCCCGTGTGCGTATTAGTATGTTTCTGCAT